TATTATATAAATGATTAAAGGAAAGAATGTAAAAAGTCTGATTTTTGTTTTTGTTTTGAAAAATGTTACATTTGTTATTATGCAACACTACAAAAAAGCTTCTGTTCTGTTCTGTTACTTCTGTTTTAGGAATGACCAAAGAATGCATAGACTTGGATCTTGGTGATTAGTCCAGTCTAGTGGCTGTAGGTATTAACCATGGCTGAGCTTCTTAGAAAACATTTGTACAGCAGACCCTTGTTACTCATCTCAATTGTAAAGACTGTAGGAATTGCTTGTAATGGATCATTGCACAAATCTCATTCTGGACTTTGCTGCTCACTAAAGCCACTGGAAACTGAGCAGCTGGATAGACATTGTAGGAGAGGCTCTGGTGTCAGCTCTAGGACCATCAGAACATAACTGTAAAGGTCAAGTAGCTATTTGTTTTTTCTTCTCAGAATTCTCTGGGAAAATACCACTTTTTTTTCCTAAATAAATAAATTACTTGCATTGTAAAAAATCAGTGCAACTGCTATGCAAATAAATACTAGCAGAATTAGAAGAAGAATTAGCAGTTGCTCCTCTTCCAGAGATACTTTGGCACAGAGCAGTAAGCTGACATGATTAAGTATGAAAGTCATCTGTAGAAGCAGGAAAAATAATTCAAATATGCACAGACAGTATTGCAAAGATTGTTGGCAGGCAACACAAGCAACACCTTGGGGACGATAGATTAATTTGAACCAAGGCCCAAAAGTCATGCAAAAACATTCAAAATGATCTACCAGCAGTTGTGCTTATTTTTTCCTTAACACTTGATCCAGCTCTTGTCCAAGGGACTGAAGTGAGCTATAACATGCTTAAAATCAAATGACAGTGAACAAAATAAACAAGGAAACCCCACATACAAGATCCCAGAAAGTCTCCCTCCCTATTCCCTTTCCCACAGGCTGCATCAGTTAACTTGGATTGCAAGGCCACCATTTTATGGCTGTTCCACCACTAAATCTCAGATGCCTTAGCCAATTTGTTTTATTAACTCCCCTTTCCCCACATAAGTCAACGTTCAGTAACACACAGATCCAGAAATGTTAGAACGAAGGGCAGTTCTTGCTTCCATAGCACAGGAAGCTATTTCTACCCAAATGTCCAAAGTCATCATTGTGATGGCTGTCAAATTCCAGCTCATGATACAGAGGTTTTCCCCCAAGTGCAGGGATAGATTGTCCTAAAGGGAATGAATTCTGTGTACGGCTGAATTAAAGTCAGCCATTGGCACACTACGTTTGATGTAAGTGCTGTGGGGAATTGTTGTCTCTATCATGAGAGCAACTTTGGCGTCAGAGGGTGGAAAAGTTCATCTTGAGGAATAAGGACTGGGAAGGGGATGCTAAATATAACAGGGTAGGAGATAAGCAAGCAAAAATTTAGATGGAAATATCAAGTCAATCCTATATTATAGAAGCAAAATGATCCTAGCCAATTGTGCAGAAGATAAAAGATCTGGATAGAAAAGGAAGAAATGTATGCAAATGGTCCAGGAGAAGCTGCAGTGCCACAGACCAGAACAGAGCAGCTGGTTGCTAACAGCATTTTTGTTCAGCCTTGGTACCTTTAGCACAAGCAAAGGAGTAATTTCGTTTTGCAGAATTACAATACATACATCTATGTTCAGTAAGCAAATTGGTCGAGAAAACAAGCAAACCTGAAAGTTTTGCAAAGTCTTAGAACCTTCAAAAATAAATACACCACAAAAAGGATGTTGGTTTACTCACTTTTCATTAGACAATCTCAAACAGCAAGATTGTAATGATGCAATGATGATGAAGAGACAATCTTGAGTTTATCCTATCAGAAATATCCTTTCAACTTTCTTTTGAACAGTGTTAGAATTGCTTTCTCTCTAGCAAATGAAAGCAAAATTGTTCAGTATTTATACCATGTAAGAAGATTTTAGGGAGAGGGAAGTGATTTAATATACATGTGATCTAGGAATTGCAAATACAAAGTCCAATGTACAGT